CTCCACCTAGTCCTCTGACACTTTCCTTGTATTTTTGTTCACCTGCCTTTGCTCACTAGCATGGAAGCTTCACAAAGCATGCCTTATTTACTGCTCAGATTCTGGTCCCGGAGCAGTGCCTGGCATGATGTAATAACTCCATAAAAATATCTTTAATAAATTAATGGATTTTACCTAGATTGTATGTGGTTTAAAATTAAAATCTTTATCCTTGGTCTGAATTAGAGACTTTACCTTCATTTATTCTTTTCAATTAGATGGCTAGTTGCCCAAATGACATTTACTAACAATTTGTACTGTCTCTACTAATTAGAATACATTCTATATTCTAATACAAGGATGTCTTTCCAGAGGCTGTTCTCTGTTTGATCTGTTTGTCTATTCCTGTGTTGGTATCTTACTATTTTAATGACTCTGTTTTCATGTCTTGCAGAGTTTATCATTTAAACAGATAGCCTGCTCAATTTGGGTAATTTGAAGAGTTTAATCAAGGTACTATTTATTTAGTGAGATATCACAGGATTCAGAGAAACCACAGGAGCTCGTTCACTACCCTGGACTCTCAACTAATATCTCTAGGCATAAATAGGCAAGAGGGAACTTTTGCCAGAACCCGAAGCAAAGAATCATGTGGAGAAGGCAGCCTTGCAAGTAGTGGTGCCTTTGGTGGAAGGAATGAAAGGAATAAATATCCAGACCTCAGTCCTCCTTCCTCCCATTTCCTGCCAATCTGTCCAGTTGGCTGAGCCCAATCAGAAGAGAGAAGGCAGGAGACTTGATGAAGTGTTCCCTACAGGTCAGCCTTCAAGGCACAGAGCAGGGCAGAAAGTGTGGACAGTGAATCTGGGGTGAAAAAGAAAGGTGTTCACATAAAGAAAGTCTTCATTCAAAAGTTCCTTGGCTCTTCTTATACAGTCGATACCAATGATCATTGTCTTATTATGCAATTTGTTAACATTAACACCAGCCTCTAAACTTGGAATTGACTTCTGTTTTGTCTGTTGCTGCTTACTTTCTAGATGCTATTCTGTTTAGAACCTGTTCCCTGTCTCGTTTCCTTCCATCTGAGCTCCTGTGTACACGGAATCCCCAGCGTGTTCTCTAATCCATGCCAGTTAGATCCCAAAGCTCTGCTAAATAACGGGGCTCCAGCTCTTTGTTAGACAATTAGGCAGTCAAACTATTTGCAGATAAAACACCTTTCCTCACCACTACGTTTCTTGTGGACTATAAATTTCATTGGGGTTGGTGGGAGAGAATGGATTTCTTTTAATTTGCCGGAGCGGTGCACAAAGATTCTGAGGCTGCCTCCAGTCTAATGACTGTTGTGATGAGTTAAGAGAGTAGTGTCGGTTTTGGTTACAGGAATGAAATGTTGCCGTACGTGCTCTTGTATTCGATTTCTTAGCCTTATGCGCTTGGTTTTGGACCACCTTACTCTAACCTTGAGTAACTGACTTTCCCTTGTACTCCCATTTTAGTCTTATTTTGTTTTTGCCTAGCCCAGAAGGAAAACAAGAGAATGTTTTAGTCTTCTGCAGATTAAAGTGAGCTCCAATTTTAAAAGTAGGACTAGAGAAAGCCTTACTCTGACTTACTAGAGAAATATAAAATCATGTTAATGTAATATTTGATCCTGTGAGAATAATTTGTAACCAGTTCAGAAAAAAAAAAAAACTGAGAGTAAAATACAAAGTCATCTTCCCCTGACCATTCTTATCATCTTTACCCTTCAGAAGCTTATAGGTATTAAGAGTGGAAGAAACTTTCAATGTCATTGAGACCATCTGTCTTCCTTTACAGATAAGGCTGCATGTTCAGAAAGGGGTTGATGTGCCCACATAATAGCAGGGGATGGAGCTGGAGTGAGAACTTTGTTCTCTCCATTATACCAACTTGTTTCTCATGTCGAACCTAAGATTAATTTTTTTTCGTATAGACAGCTGATGTGGGTATGAGTTCTCTCTAGATTGGAAGCAACTTGAGGACAGTAACTAAGTCCTATACTTCTAAACCCATACAACTATGCATATTGAGAGTATACTGACTGAATTCATGAGATGTGTCTTGCATAGATTAATGCTCTTTGTTGAATTCATGATTTAAGACAAAAGAAGGGCTAAGGAGTTACTGAAGACAAAGGCTTTTAGTAAACCAAAGGCTGACAGTATTTAGTTGGAACAAAGCTGGAAGGGTTCTAATGAGTTAATGATCTTCTTGAGTATTATCTTGACAATTAATTTGTCATTCGCTCAACTAAACCCTGTACAAGGAAAAAGAAACTGATCGAGTTAAACTGAGAAATGTTTGGTTTTAGGATGAGGGGTTAGTTTTTATTTTGAGCAGATAGAGACATTCTCTGGGTCTCTTTCTGCCTGGGTGGGGAGTGCTGAGAGAGAGGAAATATGTTATGGGCTGATAATAGGAGTATTGCCATGCAGATATTATTTCCAGAGCAGGCTTTTAGTATACACATTTCTTCCCATTTTTACTTTTCCAATTTTACTTTTCCAAGGGAGATGTTCAGGTACTTTTTATTGAGTCGCCCTGTGTTGGTGAATGTGGGACAATTACAGTTGGAGTTGAAATGCAGAGAGACCTCCTTCCTTAATTCCTGAGTGTCCTGGAGGAGTCAGAGCCACCTGGATACCAGAAGAGGAAGCTCTTAACAGCTACTTTTTGTTTTGCTCCAAAGACTTTTCAATTGTTTGTTAAATTCGTTTTAACTTAGAAGCCTGCCTTCCCTTTGATAGGGTGTAATGGAGGCAATTCCAGGGGGCTCAGTGACGGACATATGCACCAGCAGCTGTTACTCTGTTTTTCTCTCACTCCCTCTGGCTTCCCACATCCACAGGCGGGTGGGGATCTTCTGACCCGTCCTTTCGGTTCCTGGTGCTTGATCTATGCTGTCTCCAGGTGGCTTGGCCCTCCTCTGAGGCAGACATCAATCGCAAAGATCAGAGTGGGCTGGCTTTTGAAGAGGTTTTTCAAATTATGGTTTGCAAACCTGCAGAGAGATGCAGTGCTCCTTTCATGTTTCCATTCCATCTGTCTCAGAGAGGGCAAAGGGTGGGTCTTCGTGTGACCTGGGGCTATTGATGTTCTTTGCAAATTCATTTCAAGTTAATATCTACATTTCTGTCACAGGCATCTAACAACCCTTGTTTTCCCTTGATCTTGACATTGCTCTAGCGAGGCTGCCATTGAGTGAGAAGAATGATTCCTGTACACTTACAAATGCAAGAACAAAGGAAGAGTTCTCCTTCATCATGGGATTGTATTAAATGCTGTTTTGAGTTCTTTCCTTTGTATAATGTTGAATCCTGGCTGGTGGCGTGAATATTACAGGATGGTATTAGTTATCTAGTTAAGCGTCTAGTGATACTTCCATTCACAACCATAATGCATTTGACTACTCAGTGTATGCCATACACTGTGGAGTTTCAGCTATACCATTTCCTCTTCTTATAACAACCCTATAAAGTACTTGTTATCCTTGTTTTATAGATGGATATGGCTGCACTCATTCGTTTACACATAGTCTATGGTCGCTCTCATGTTGTAATGCAGAGTTGTTATGACAGAAAACATGGTCCACAAAGCAGAAAATATTTTAATATCTGGACATTTAAGAAAAAAATTGCTTAGCACTGCTGTTAGCATCCAACTTATTAGCAAATAGGACAGTTCTTCTGGTTGCACGTTAACAGGTATAAAACCCAAGAGTCTATTATCTATCTGTCTCATTTTTTTCTCTTTTTCATTTCCTTTTGTCTTCTACATATTTTTTTTTCATGATTTTGTGGAGGGTTAGTGGCTTTTACCTCTCAGTCTAAATGCCAGCTGGTAATAGTTTGCTCTGTTTATTTAGAGATTTCCTGTCAGGAGCCTTGTAAGAGATTGAGATTCTGTGTGGTTCTGTGAAGTATAAGGTTTGTAGCAGGGCTTTCTTTCTTGAGGGGAAAAAACAATAATGTAACTGTGATGATTTAGCAAGTTCTACTGTTTTCATTTCAAAAGGGGAAACGTCCCTGTGTTTTTGCCGGATGTTAATATACTATTACATGGACAAATTCTAGTCAGGGTTGGTTTGAAGAAATATTACTGTCAGTTTTATGCTCCTCAGGCTTGTTTGGAAGTTTGCCTAGGAGGAAGTAAGTTGTAAGGCAGCAGTCTTCAAACATTATTGTATATAAAGAGACACTTGGGATGCCTGTTTAAAAAATGGAGATTCCCAGACCCTCAGTCCCAGAGATTATGAATCAGTAAGTCTGCTGTGGGTGCCTCTGATGCTAATGGAAAACAACTGGTTTAGGGAGGAGAGCCATGGCTTACAGCAGCGATTCTAGGTCATCTCAATAAGGATATTATCTGTGACTAGTTTTTAAATTCTGGTTCAGTTTATCTTGGAATGTGATGTTGTAGCTGTATTTTACATGTTTATTTAAGTAAGACATAATAGGAAAATCATGCCGCTGTAAATGTATTTGAACACTTTTTCCTTCCACTACTGCCAATAATGACAACAGCATTTTATGTTTTTTGTAGTGCTTTATAGCTATAGAGTTCCTCATTATGCACATCTCATTTGATTTTAATGTCAACCCTTGAAACAGATGTAGCAAGTAGTATAATTTTCATTTATCAAATGAGAAAATTGAGATATAAAAAACAAGTGATATTTTTCCCCTAACAGCACAGCTAATAAGCAGTCCACCTGGAATCCCCATACTCTGGGTCTCATTTCTAGTCCAATGTTACATGCAGTGCACCAGTTTGTTTTTATGACACCTACTTTGATTTTTAGAGGAAAATATAATCATTTATAATTCATCACCTCCTGTTAGGAAGGATGAGCTGTCCGTAGTTAAATACTTTGGTAATCTCCCATAGGTGACTCACTGTGGGGGTAATAAAAGGGTTATACACACTTGTGAATCAGTTGTCTTTATGGAACATTCCTGGCACGGAAGAAGAAACCTCTCTCCTTTCTTCAACAGAAACTTTATAAGACAGGTCGGGAGATGCAAGAAAGGATCATGGAGCTGCTCATCGTGGTGGAGAATGAAGATGTAACTGTTGAGCTAATTCAAGTGAATGAGGATTTGAACAATGCCATCCTTGGATATGAGAGGTGAGCAGACGGTGCACCCTCTCCGGCCCTCCTCTGATTCTAGTTTCACCACCAGTTACTCAGCATTCTTATCACAGTGCCTGCAAGGTGAAAACTCATATCAAGAACAAGTTTGGAATTGGGTCACTTTCCTCCCGAGATAGCGGATCATGGTCCTGGCCTTCTGCGAGCTTGAGATATGGCTTGCAAGAATGGGAGGATACCTGAGCAGTGCTAGCAGTGCTAGGAGCATTCTTGGGCATTCTCAGGCTGTGGAACCTGTGAGCGGGACCGGGATTTTATTCACTTAATATTGTCCGCACTGAGCACATCATAAGCTCATAAATAGACGAATAGTATAAACAAAGAATCTCGGGGAAAGTGAGGTGTACTCTAAGTTTGAGATGGAGAAAATTATGGAAAGAGAAGAGGGGAGAACATTTCATATTGAGAAAATAGTCTATGAAAAACCAGAGTGGCCAGTGAAGAAATTTTGTATGTGAATATATATATTTAAATTTTCATTCGGAAAAATATAAAGAGAAATATTTTAAATACTCATAACTTAGTCACTAATACTTTAGTTTTTCTAAAGTTTTTATAGCTCTCTTCATATAAAGAACATATACTTTTGTTTCTCCCTCAATTTTATTTACTGCGTAACAACCATTTGTCTATCCTGTGTTTTTAAATGCTTTTAGGAAACCGTTTTTAATAGCTACATAATGGTTCACGTTTCTCTCACAGTTTACTGATTAGTTGTTTTTAACTCATTCATCCATCAAATTAGTAGAACTTATAATCTATTTTAATAGTCGAGCCTATAGTCAGCAAACACCTTAAATTATAAACATACACACTTGGAAATTGAAATAAATGCAGTGAAACAAAAGTACAGGAGGCCTATTTGGTGAGAATCACAGCAAGACCTAATCCAGGTTGGGCGAAGGAAGCTTCTCTGAGGAAGTTCCATTTAAGCTGAGAACTACGGAATGAGTGGAGTTGACTAAACAAGGAGCAGAGCAAAAGCAGGTATGGTTTACGAAGCTATGGGAAAGTACAATAGACCTGGGGAGAGAGCGTTCTCCCAGAACCTAGCTCCAAAGAGCTGCAGCATACTCAGATTGTCAGGAGGCTTTTTCCTCAGTCTGGATACAAAGCTCCAGACATGTCTCCTGATCTCTTTCCAAACTTATCCCTGGGTCTTCTTACCATAGAAATTCCGCAACCTCTGAGATCCCCACATTTTACTAGATTCTTGTTTCCCGTAGGAGTGGAATTGGCACTTTGGGTAGGGCACTGTTCCCTGTCCCTGCTCACTAAATGCTAGCTTGTTCCTCCTAAAAGTGGCATTCTGAGACACCTTTGGGGCATCGTTTCTGTTGAGAATCACTGGGCATTTGTAGTTGCACAGTGGCTGTGTTTCTAACCAGCCGATGAAGAATGATACCATGACATAGAACAGTCCTAGATCAAATCTTGCTGATGATCTCGGACAAGTTACTTAACTTTTCTAAGAATTAGGGTTTTTTTTTCCTGTTTGTGAAAGAGGAAAGTACTACCTGTTTGGAGGATTTTCTTTTTTTGTTTTCATTTTGAAAATTAAGTGAGATCACGTATGTAACAGCTCCCAGGGGAGTGCTAACACACTGACACTCATTAAATATTAATTTCTTGTCTTCCTCCTACCCATTAACATCCCACTGAGCCTTTTAATTTATTGACTAGAATTTTTTCCCCCACTGATCACAAATGAGCCAAGAGAATCAGTGAAGTAAAACCAATAGCTATGAAGTCAGCTCTTTCATTTACTATCTCATATTTACTGCCTTTCAGTGATAACAGCCATCATGTGGAGTGATGACAGGGCTTCCACTCAGGATGTGAGTGTTCACAGTACTGAACAAACTCACAGCCCTCACCCTTTGTTTTCTGTGGTGTAATCCTTTGTAAGCGGAAAATGTCTAAGGAAAACCACATGGTTTTTGGTAGAGTGCTGCCTTCTGGTTTTCATTTTGGAAAATTCTGTTGCAAACCATAAAACTAATGACAAAAACCTTCCTCCGAAGGGGGATGTGTGTTTATTTGGTGTTGCTATCAGGAGATTGGATTACTTCTGTGAATGGCTCATTCTGATTCAACACTGAACCACGTGTGCCAAAAGCCACTGCAGTCAGTTGTGAGATTCAGAGAGAAAATTCTTGCAACTACAAAAGATACTAATCTGGCATATTAGTTTCCTATAGCTGCTGTAACAAATTACCACAAACTTAGTGGCTTAAAATGACATAAACTTAGTATCTTACATTTCTATAAGAGTCTGAAATGGGTCTCATCGGACTATCATCAAGGTGTTGGCAGGGCTACGTTTCTTTTTGGAGGCTCTGGAGGAGAATCCATTTCCTTAACTTTTGCAACTTCTAGAGGCTGCCCACTGTCCTTGACTTATGACCCTTTTCATCCATCTTCAAAGCCAACATTGTCTGGTCGAGTCTTCACATTCTCCTAAAGTGGCGTTTTGAGACACCCTTAAGGGCATCACTTCCTCTTCTGCCTCCCTGTTTCACATTTAAAGACCTTTGTGATTACATTGGGCTCCTTTGGGGAGTCCAGCATAATCTTCCTATTAAAGTCAGTTCACTAGCAACCTTCACTCCATTCGTCATCTAACATATTCATTGTTAAGTTAAACTGTCCTGTTTCCCAAAGATTCACGTCTATTCCACATGCAAGATACATTCACTCTGTTCTAATATCCCCCAAAATCTCCACTTATTACAACCAGGAAATAGTTGTACAAATAAGGAAATAGAAATTTGTTACTCAAGGCTTGACCTGTGAAGGTTGTTCATACCCAGCATGTAACTAACTAGCATACGAGAAGCCAATGCCGTAAGAAAGAAACGTGTTTTAGAAAGGGAAAAATCCTTAATCTCAAGTACGTGTTTAAATCAACTGTAAACTTTTAGACTTTAGTGTTTAGGTTCATGGAGTCAGTGTGTCATAATAGTAATACTCTATGTTTCTAAAGAAGCTCTTAGTTTGCGTAGAATTTCCACATTCATCCACCTGTGTTATCTGTTGATATCTTGCCCCTGAGAATAACTTTCTGAGTATATGGTTCAAATGTTACTATTCTCCTTTAGCAGATGGAGAACTAAGGATTAAGAAGTCATATCCATGGTTATACAGCTATGTAATAATACTGATGCTTGAATCTTGAACTTCTACCTTTAACTTCACTATTCTTTCAACTCCATTCATTCATTCATTCATTCAACTGTCCCTCCTCTATCCCCAGTGTATGAGAAGTGTAAAATTTTAAAAAGTTATAAAAGCTCAATATTTTTAGTTGGCATTAAATATCTTATAAAAATGAAGATAAACAGTGAAAATACATTAAATGTTTTTGAATTTTTATGGAAAATTATAATGGCAAAATTAGAAATATTTGGGAATAATAAGAATAGTTAAATGTATAATGCACTTATAAGGTAAAATAGGCAACCACTAAAAATAGTATTTCTGAATAACTAGAAAAATGTTTGTAAAATAATTGAATTAGGATACAAAATTATATAACATATAATTTCAACTCAGTTTAAAATAGATTAACTTATAGAAAAATATACAAGAAAGACATACATCATAATGTTAAAGGACTGTTTCTAGGCAATGGAAACGATTATTAATACTTTTAATACTATTCTATTTTCTTGCAGTTATTTCTAAAGGCATTTTTACCTCTATAAACTGGAAAAAAATTATTAAAGTACTTTATCGAGAATTGAGTAGGAATGAGGCTGATTGTCTTTGCTCCTAAATATTTGTTTATTAATAATTTGTTAAATATTGTAGCATTTTCATTTAAATTCTTACATTTTTCTCATTTAAACAGGTTTACTAGAAACCAGCAAAGGATTTTGGAGGAAAATAACCAGAGGGAAGATGCCAATGTAAGTGATCAGAAATGTTTTAAGATAAACCATTGAACATTGTATAAATTGTACAGTAAAGAGCTAGGCTTATTAAAACAAGGAGGCATTCATTAATGATTTGGAGTGGTTTCCATGATGTAGAATATTTGCCTTAATCACTTGATGTTATTAAGTTATCAATAAGCAGTCATTAGGAGATTTTCTAATTAAGCAGGGACCCACTTAGATGGTGAGATGTGGTTATACTGGTTTTGCCTATTGAGTGGAGAATTATCTCTCAAGATGATTCCAAATAGGATCTTCTTTTCTCCAAAGTAAAGTTTCTTAGGAGAAAGCCATGATAAACTACCTGACAGTTTTTCTACATTATGTTTTTTGTTTGCTTTGTTTCAGACTACCAGTGAACCTTCTGCCCCATCCTATGATCTTCTTGACCTAAGTCCCAGCCCTCCAAATCACAGGGTCACACTGGGAGAAGACAACACCATGAATGCTCAGCTTTCAGACTTAAGTAAATAAGCACGGTGGGCTTTAAGATTAGCAAAAGAGCTTCATGTGAAACAGTTCTCCTTGGTTTCATGACTAAATGCAACCTGAGAAGGACGGAAGTCAGTTGGAATATCAGAGAACTATATCAGGAGATGTAATTACTTCTTGGCAAGTAGTTGGATCACACACAGCACAGGAATGGGGTGTGTCTGGGAAAAGAGGTCTTTGAAACTCATCCCACTGGCTTAGGATCTCTTGGAAAAACCTTTAGAGAGGTTGTTCAACTCCACGATCAAATCTACTCTGAACCCACACACTATTATCTTTGCATTTTTCTGCCATACTACAGCATCAGTTAAAGGAATATTGGATGTAGAAAGAGAAATTGAGGCATTATGAGGCCTGATCCACATGGTGATGAAATATAGAGGAGAGAACACAGGCTTTTGAGAAGTCCAAGATGGAACCACAGTTCTGCCACCTTTTAGCCACCTAACCTTTGAGATTTTTCTAATTTTTAAAGTGAGAACAATGGTTACTCTAATGGGTTTCTGTGAAGGTAAATGAGTAATGTTTATAAAATGCATGGTAGGCTTAGGGTTACCTATCTTCTTATATGTTATCTCCTTCTATCCTTATTACCATAACATTTTGGTAAATTACAAAATAAGGATGATGAAAAATGCTGTAATCCAGAAGTTTTCCAAACTAAAGTCAGTTTGTTTTGTTCTTAAAATCAATTTGTTTTTCCAGAGTCAAAATATGCAGTATCACGGAATTTGTGGTTTTCTTTTAACTTCCTTCATTTCTAAAGTGTTGGCTTGCTTGCTTATGTGGACCAGTGAGATGTGTGGGGTCCGTTCATTACATTGAAGAGTTTTCTTGAGTTTTTGTCAGGTGTTTTCAGAGGGTGCAATAATTATTCTCTTTGGGGTGTCTCACTTACGATGGGAAATTAAGAGTTTGGAGAGGTGAGGGTAGAGCTCTGTATATACAATAAATTTTTACTTTTGTGGTAAAGGACACATAAAATCCCTATTATTCTGGATCAGCTGGGGATTTTAGAATACTTAGTACAATAACATTTGCAACCTCTGTGGCAAGGAATTTTTCTCTTTCTGATTAACATAGATGCTTTTTAATATCTGTTTGAAGAAATTCTATGATTTTATATGACAGAAATACCTTAATCTTGTTTGTTTGTTTGTTTTTACTGTGGAAAATCCAAAAGAACAACTTACAAAATGTTTTAAAGCCAAACAAGTCCATTTTGTATTCTAGATTTCAGCTCTTCGAGTCCTGTTGTAACAAACAACTTGCATCCCAGTCTTCACTCACGGCTGGATTTGCTAGCCTTGGAAAATACAGAAACACCACTGTAAGTATGTCAGTAATAGTCTGTAACTAATACAATCTCATTCTGATTCCTCATACTTCAAAAAGCATGACAAAAAGGAATCACACAGATCTAAGTTAGAATCTAAACACTGCTTCTTCTTTGCTGTGTGATCTTGGGTAAAATACCTAGTGTGAGCCTTCATTTTTCTTCGAGGATACTTCCTAGGGTTTTTGCAGAGATTCAGTGGAATGCTGTATGTATCTCCTAATATGCACTTGGTAGATAATAAGCCTTCAATAAATAATCTGTTTCTGTTATTTTTAGAGTGGTAACAGGAAGTAGAAGAAATAAAATGACAAAGGAAGGGGAAGAGAAATGAGATTCAAAATTGTTAAAAGTAATGGCTATGCCAATTACGTACTTGCTTCATCCCAGGCGCTTTGCTAAGCTGTTTTTGTTTATTTCATTTAATCTTTGCAAAAATTCTTGTCAGTGCTGTTACCATTATTCCTTTTTTATAGGAGGAAGGGCTGAGACTTTGAGAATAGAACTTGCCCCAAGTTCATATAGCTATTAAGTAGCATCTCTGATAAACTGGTACAAATGACTTATAAACATATGCAATGATGCTCAACTTTACTTATAGCTACAGAGATATAAACTCTAGTAAGGCTTTTTTTTTTAACCTCAGATTGGCAAAAGTCTAAATGCATTGTTGGCTGTGGAAAGACGATATTATCACAAAATTATAGTCAGGAGGAAGTGGCAATACCTATTAAACTTATAAATGCATTTACCATTGAACCTGCAATCTCATTTCTAGGAATTTATATTCATTTATGCAAATATTTACAACATTTGGGCAGTAGCTAATAATTGCAAACAACTCAAGTACCCATCAGCTGGAGACTGGTTAAATAAACATCTATATACAATGTGGTCTGAAGTAGCTGATTGTTTTCCTATATCCTGCAAATCTTGCTGGGTAGTATGAGAAAGAATGATTGTATTGATGAGATCCCATTACAAAAAACATCTCTATAAAACTCATAAAAAGATCAAATTCTAGCTAATAGCTGCTTATTTTAACCTGTAATTTCATGGATCTCACACTTTAGTGTACATAAAATCACTTAGGTGGCTATTGAAAAGTAAAAATTGCTGACACTCCCCAATTCTGATTCAGTAGTGGGGCAAAATAAGCCATCAAAATGTTTTACTGTCTTGAGATTTTCTGACACCTCTGTTTGCAGTTTAATTTGTTCAAATGAGTGATGGAATTATTGATAACAAATTTTCCTTGGATAACAGTGATGATGGGATAAAGCAGGGGTCCCCAACCCCCGAACAGCTTGTTAAGCAGGCTGCACAGCAGGAGGTGAGCAGTGGGCAGTGAGCAAAGATTCCTCTGTGTTTGCAGCCGCTCCCCAGCACTAGCATCATCGCCTCAGCTCCACCTCAGATCATCAGGCATTATTAGAGTCTTGTTGAAGCAGGTTGGGGACCACTGGAATGAAGTCATAGGTTATATAAGGCAACAGGTTAAGGAAAATAAAAAATGCTTACTGCTTACTTGCTGTTGCTCCCAATAGGCCCAAGGAGGGTACCCTATCACTCTACTTTTACAAGTGTAGAAACCAAGGCTGAGGAATATTAATTTGTCAATGGTTACCCAACTAGTACATAGACAGGATTCAGATTCAAGTGGGTCTGATTTCAGTACCTGCTCTTTTCTTTTTGCACTTAATTTTATTTTAAAAATTTCCTTAAGGTAAAATTGACACTCCCCCCACTCCTTTTTTTTTTTTTTTTTTCGTGTACAGTTCTATGAATTTTAACATAGATAGACAGATTCATATAAGTACCATCACAGTCAGGATACAGAATATAGTTATATCACCCTCAACTCCCTGCGCTATTGCTTCATAGTCATACCCTCTCACTCCCAACCCCCAGCAACAATCAGTCTGTTCTCTATCACTATAGTTTGTGTTTTTGAGAATGGCCTCTAAATAAAATCACACAGTATATAGTAGTTCTGGAAAAGGTTGTATAAAACTGGTGTTTGCACCATGTATTTTGAAGCTCTGTTATTAAGTGCATATGCATTCAGGATTGTTATACCTTCTTAGTGAATTGACCCTTTTATCATTATGTTATTATGTTCCTCTTTGTCCCTTGTAATTTTCTTTGCCCTGTGTCTACTCTGATAGATGGCCACTCTAGCTTTCTTTTGATTAGCGTTTGCAGCATGTCTTTTTTTATCTTTTCACTGTTAACTGTATCAAAATAATTGAAGTTTCTTATAGATAGTATATAGTTACATTATGCATTTTTATGTATTCATAACTTCTGTCTTTAATTGATTGTTTTGATTAGACCATTTCTATTTAGTGTAATTATGTGTTTGGATTTAGGTTTATAATTATGTAATTTGTTTTCTATTTGTTCCCCTTTTTTCCCATTTCCTCTTTTCTGCATGCTTTTATTTGAATGCTTTCAGTATTCCATTTTATCTATTATGATTTAGACTGTAGTTTTGTATAGTTTACACATAGATGGGGACTGCTTGCACTAGGGATTGGAATATACATAATTTTTAAGTCTAGTTAGAACCAGTATTTTACCACTTCAAGTAAGATGTTGAAACCTCATCATCATACAGATTCCCCTTTATATTATATTACATCTATATACATTGAAAATAAATCCACCACTGAACAATGCTATAATTTTTGCTTGTAACCCACAAATATATTTTAAAAGACTCAGGAAGACTGTTTACCCAATATTTGTCATTTCTGTTGCTCTTATTTTCTTCCGGTACGATGTCCCTTCTCTTTGAAGAATTTCCTCTAGCCATTCTTGTAGAGTAGGTCTGTCGGCAATGAAAATCTCTCAGTTTTACTTCATGTGAGTATATCTTTGCTTCATGTTTGTTCCTAAAGAATAATTTCACTGGATATAGAATTCTGGGTTGACAATTCTTTTCTTTCAGCAGTTCTTCAGCATTGCTCTACTCTCTTCTCGCCTAAATGGTTTCTAGTGAGAAATCTACATTGATTCAAATTTTTGATTCCTATAGATCCTGTGTTGTTTTCTCTGGCTGTGCTTTCAGGAATATATATTTTTTAAATTTTAAACAGTTTGATTATCATATGTCTGGGCATGGATTTCTTCTCATTTATTCCATTGTGGGTTTGTTGAATATATTAGTTTCCTGTGGCTAACATAAGAAAAAAAAAAAAAATTACCGAAAAATGGATGGTTTAAGACCACAGGAACTTATTTTCTCATAGTTCTGGAGGCTGAAAGTCTGAAGTTCTCTCCCTTCAGGGATTTTAGGGGAGAAGCCATTCTTTGCCTCTTCCAGATTCTGGTGACTGTCTGCATTTGCTGGCTTGTTGGTACATCACTCCACTTTCTGCCTCTACCTTCATATTGCCTTCTCCTCTGTCTAAAATTTCCACTGCTTTTCTTGTTTTAGCTCACTTGTCATTGGATTTAGGGCCCATTCAGATAATATAGGAAGATGTCGTCGTTGCAAGATCCATAACTTAATCACATCTGCAAAGACCCTTTTTCCAAGTAAGGTCACATTCACAGGTTCCAGGAATTAGGACAAAACATGTTTTTGGGACCTATAATTCAACCTACTCCACTGAACTTCTTGAATCTGTGGTTTTATGTCTTTTGCCAAATTTATGAAGTTTTCAGCCTTCATTTCTTCAAATATGTTTTCAGCACTACACACTTTCTGCTATCCTTCTGAGACTCTTGCTAACACAACTGTTAGATCTGTTGTCATTGTCTCATAAATCTCTAGGGTTCTGTTCATTACTTTTCTCACTCTGTTTTTTACATTAGGTAATTTCTATTGAGCTATGTTCAAGTTCGCTATTTCCTCTGTCATCCCTATTTTGCTACCGAGCTCATTCTGTAATAAAAAAATTGTTATTTTTCAATTCTAAAATTAGCATTTGACTCTTCTTCATATCTTGTGTTTCTTTGCTGAGACTTCTCTTTTTCCGTTTTTTTTTTCCCCAAGTATGTTTACAGTTGTTTGTTGAAACATTTGTGTAAGAGCTGCTTTAAAACCTCAGATAATTTTCAGCAACTATGTCCTCATGATATTAACATCTGTTGATTTGTCTTTTCTCTTGCAATTTGAAATGTTCCCAGTTCTTCATGTGTCTAGTAATTTTGGATTGTATGTTTGACATTTTTAATGTTATGAGACATTTGCTCTTATTTAAATCCTGTTGAGAATGTTGATATTATGATATTAGTAGGCAAACAACCTTGTTAGTGTCATGCTGCAGTTTTAACCTGCCTTCTGGATGCTGTGGTTCCAGTACAGCTAAGTTTTCTTTACTCTCTTCAGTATTTGGGCATCATGAACTGGTGGGCACTGAAATCATATGGTAATTGTTATGTAAAATTCCTACTTTTGTATAGTCTGAAGGTACATTTTACGTTTTGATTTTAGACCAGGAAAGTCATCTTACTTTTTGCATTTGCGTTCTCACTGTAGGGTAATTATGCTCTTATCATACCATCCTAGGTTTGCCCAAAGGACTGGCCAAAACCTCACCTCAGGTCATACGTATGCAAATGTAAGTAAATGAAACCTTTCCCTAGCAGTGCACATAATCAGACTATCGTGGCCAAAAAGGAACTCCTGGTCGTTAATTCTCATGTTCTGCTCAATGTTTCTTTATAATGTATTGATTATAGCCCTTGTTAGGACTTTTTCTTATCACCTTTTTAATATTTTATTATTTAAAAATTTTAAAAATTTTTTCAGTTGTCGACATACAGTATTATATTAGTTTCATGTATACAACACAGTGATTATTTATATAGCTTACAAAGTGATCACCCCGATAAGTCTAGTACCCATATGAAACCATGGATAGTTAAAATATTATTGACTATATTCCCTATGCTGTACTTTACATTATCACCATGACTGTTTTTATAACTGGCATTTTGTACTTCTTAATCCTGTCTCCTTTTCACCCATTCCTCATCCCCCTCCCATCTGGCAACCACCAAAATGTTCTCTGTATCTATGAGTTTCTGTTTTGTTTTTTTAGATTTCACATATAAGTGAAATTATATGGTATTTGTCTTTCTCTGACTTATTTATAGATAAATGGATAAAGAAGATGTGATATTTATATACAAAGGAATATTACTCAGCCACAAAAAAAGAATGAAATCTCGCCATTTGCTACAACACAGATGGACCTAGAGTGTATTATGCCAAGTGAAATAAGACAGACAGACAAAGTCTTTTTAACCTCTTTAGACTAAGTCGAGTCTTCCTTCTGTTAGAAAGATGATTAAGGACCAAAATTGCTTTAGTGTCATTTGTATTAGCTCTCTCCATTCCTTTCCTACCATCCTTTTTGACATACTTCAGACAGGCTCTCACCCATAACACTCCACTGGCATAGCTTTTGTCAAGATCAGCAGTGACCTCCATATTACCAAATCTGTACTGCAATTTTCAGTCCTCTTACCTGATTTATCAGCAGAAAAAAAGTGACAGTCTTCCTCCTTTTTGCACATATTGCTTTCAGACACCACTCATTTTTGGCTCTTCTCTTGTTTCACTTCCACTTCTTATCAAGCTCCTTTGCTGGCCCCTCCTCCTCTACTGGCCTTTCAGTGTTGAAGACCCCAGAACTCAGGCTTCAGACTTCTCTATATTCATTCTTCTACGGCCTTTTAGTCTCATATCTTGAAATACCAAATTCTGACAACTTACAATTGTTATCTCCATCTCATTCCCTTCCCCTAAACTCAACTCATACATCCTCCTTCCTCTTAAGATCTCTTGTTTTCTTCTTAGATCTGCCTTTCCTGCAGTGTTTTTCACATTAGTAAATGACCACTTTCTCAGTTGCTCAAGTCAAAAACCTCAGAAAATAGTGCTTGATTTTCTACCTTTTTACTTTCAAAATATATCCATTATCCAGCCATTCTCACCAACTCTACTCCTACATCCCAGTCCAGGCCATCGGATGGATATTGCAGAGGTTTCCTAATGGTTGTCCGGCTTCAGTCTTCACCTCCCTCTATACTCCTACCCCCACCACACAATCTATTCTCAAAACAGAAACCAGAGCAATCTTTTTTAAAAAGTGAAGTCATGTTACTTATCTACCGTAAACCCACCCATGATTTTCCACAATCCATGTTACTCAGTAAAAGCCTGAAATGCTGATCTGACCCCTCCCATTACCTCTCCAGCATCACCTCTCACCTGTCTCCTCTGGCTCACTTTACTCCAACCACACTGGCTTCCTGCGCTTCAGAGCATAAGATGTTGTGTCTGCTCAGATAATCACAGGGCCCACTTCAGAGCCAGGGCTTTGCTCATTGTCTCCTGTGGTGAGGCATTCCTTGACCACTATGATCACAGCAATATCCCTACCCCACCTACCCCAGCATCTCTTCTACCTGTTACCCCTTTTTTCTTAGAGTTGCCATCTGATTGATATCTCTCTACATTTGTTGATTTTCTGTTCCATGAGGGCAGAGATTTGGCCTTCTTATTGCTGTTTTTAGTGCCTGACATTTAGTAGGTGCCAAAGAAATATTTATGCAATGAATGAGGAAAATTACAAGAGATATTTCTAATTATGACTTAAATCTTTTATCTTATTCCTGTTTTGATGTCATCACCTTATGCCTTTCTATAGGGTCAAGATTTCTTTTTCCTGTTTGAAATTGAGATTCTATATTTAGTGTGAAACAGCAGAATCTGGACTGAGCCATACATTCCTGTTTTTTTCTTTTTTTTAAGATTTTTTAGAGTTTACATTTTTATATGGGAAATGAGGTGCAATGGGCATGAAGCCAGACAAGACAGAAAAGCAGTAAATTTTATAAGTGGTTATTACTTCAAAAACTAAAGTAATAGTTCATAAAACTAATTCTTGTTCAGTTGAGAGTATATGGTTCTTGGAATAGTGCCACTTGGAAGCCCAAGAATCTTAAAAAAAAAAAAAAAAAAAAACTTACTGTAGAATGTTTACTCAAATATGTGCCATGCTTTCTTCAGTTTCCAGAAAATTCAAATTCAGTGTTACTACAGCCAGTCAGTCTACAGACCATTGCAGCTACACCACCAAACCCGAGCCCACCATCCTTGCCCAACAATCATCCAGGTACTTAAGACCTTATTATTTGCATCAAACAGGAAAAATTGTGAGAATATAGGAATCTGCCAGAGATTTATAGTAATTGTAAATAGATATATAGAGGAAAAATGAGAGCAGGTCATTTGCATTTTTAAGCTCCATGAAGTAAATTCAGGGCAAATACCATTATACCTGACATTAGGAGACTAAAAATGCTTGTGTTGTGCTGAATATCATATTTTCAACACTGAGAGTAAATGAACCTTTAGTCGAAGTTTGAAATCTTTTTGTTACATAGAGATTTGTTGCACTTGGGAGCAGCATTGGAACATCAGTGTATTTGTTTCTGGTTGTCAGTGTTTGTTAGGATCTTATGTTTGAAGTCTAAGTCATAAAGAGAATACTAATTGTACATATTTCTTGAAAAGCACAATATGTGTTATATGTATTCACTTTTTTTTTTTTTTTTTGCCTGAAGCAATGACAAAGAATGATCTCCAGCCACCCAATTACTATGAGGTAATGGAGTTTGATCCCTTAGCTCCTGCTGTCACTACAGAGTAAGTCATTTACAAAATGATTAATTTATTTTTTGTCTTGGTTCCCTTCGGCAGCAGAGCTAATGGGGCTTGTTTATACATTTAACTTAGTTTAGATCTTGGCAGAAATTGATGACCTTATTAAAAATGACTTATGAGGTTTTATGTAAGCTGTTGCTTTTAATGGTCTTACCGTTCTCGGCCTTGTGACTGAAAAATAAAAATGCTGGGGTTGCACATAAAGAAATAACTGGAACCATTATGTGCATTAATGGATTCCTCGTAGATATCTTGGCAGAAAGTCAGGTTCTCTACCGCTTGAGAAGGGCACTATTCACTAATTAATGACATAAGTAACACCATATTGATGAGATATTTTAGCTGTTGACTACTGATCCATAAAAAAACTTATGTAAGAACTTGTTTTTAGTCTTCACTACATATAACATTGTGCTTAAAATGGATTAATAAAGCATTAGTGTAAAAATTACTTGCTTTAAGCACCATTATTTTATGATTTCGTATTGGTCAAGTGTATATAGATATTTCCAGGATGGTAGGCTTATTAGAGCTTTAATATACTTTGATTGACTGAAAGTTACCCCCAAAATTGTTAAAAATGATTAAAGCAAGTTTATGGAAATCGTTGTTCAGAAACTGACAGCCAGCAGGATATATAACTTGCCTATAGCTGTTTTGTTTGACCTGTGCAGAATTTATAATATGTATTTAAATATTAATTGCTAAGTTAAAAACCGGGCTATTTCAAAAAATATCGGGACCTCTGGATTCTTTCTGATGCCAAGGCCTGCATTTTTACATGTTAACCATAGCTGGGGCTGAGTAGTGACTGCCTCCTTAGGACAGAGCAGGCTATGCAGTCCAGTAGGCCCAGCTGGCCCTTTGTGTCCATTCATTTGATCTGCCTGGCATGTGTAGGCATTTGAGGTTCTGACTCCTAGTTTAAGCCCTCAATGTAGCAATCCATTTTGTAATAATTAATGAGTAAATCTTAATAGGCTTAGGTGTTCATTAAATATTTTTTTCCTAACAGGACTTGAAATTTTCCTAGGTCATTCTGCTTGATAAAGTATCACTGAATGTATTAGTGGTTTAAAGAATTAGAAATTGGTTAAACTAGGTATGCTGTGTAGATATGCTTTTTATCAGTTTCTGTATCCACATAGGAAGCAAAAAAGTTTATTATATTCCAGTTAATTAGGAGATTTTTGTGAGTAGATATGGCAGTGCAACAGATTAATTAAAGTTTAGATAGTAAAAAGCTGGAGAGGTGAAGCTTTGAAATTCTCTACCACTGTTTCTTACATTCTGGGGAGTGTTTTTCAGTTCTTTTGAAAGTTACATGAAATCCAAGGAACTTATAAGGACAATCACGAAATCTTGCAGAAAAGTTCTGGGATTTTCATATCACTGGTTGTCCATGCACCCCAGGTTTAGGAATTTCTGCTCTAGCAGGACATAGACTACAATATTTATGAAGATATATTCATATTCACATGATTCATTCATTTGAAAAATGCAATGAATACTGACAAAGTGTCAGGGACAGTGACTGGGGCATAATTTATCATGTTGAAGAAGAGACATGCTCTGTCTTCATGGAGGTTAAATCTAGTTTGGAGGCAGAAATTAAATCAGCAGGCAAACATGAAAGAATATGGTAACTTTACACAGTGTATACCAGGAAGAACTCATTCAAGTGAGCGTAAGAGGAAGCTTGAGGAAGTGACATTAAAGTTGAGATCTGCAATTGTTAGTTAAGTCACAATGTTGTTGTAGGCACAGGAAACAACTTGTACAAAGACCCTGATGAGAATTTTGGCAAGTTCAAGGAAATGGACAAGCCAAACCTAAGAGCAAAGAAAGCAACAGGGAACCCATTGTGGAAATTGCAATTTGGGAAATAAAAAGAAAGCAGCACACAACTGTGATGAACATCACAGAGAGAAGTAAGATGAGGACTGAAAACTAGCTCATGATTAAGTAACAGGAAATCATTGGTGATTTTAATAAAAGCCATTTTGGTAGACTGATGGGGACAGAAGCCAAATTCCAGTGCATTAAAAAGTAAGAGACACAGACAAGAAGTACAGATGACACTAGAAAAATAAGGGATGCTGCAAAGTGGTTTGGCAGCTTGAGGATTACTGAGGTGATTAAGTAGACACGTGGGATTAAGGACTATACTGTTTTATAAAATGCTGGAACATCTATGAATGCTGAGGGGTAGGATCTAATTAGAGAGGGAGAAGTTAAAGGTTCAGTTCAGGAAAGAGGATACTAAATGAGTAAATTGAGAAAATTGTTTGAGAATCCAGGGGTAGATAGGATCACAGAAGTAGATGATGGTGCAAATGAAAATAGATTTGAAGATTCAGGAATGGGAAATGAGGAAGTTTCCATAACAAGGCATTTATTAAGAAGTGAGGTTTCTGACTGAGAGTGAGAAAAGGGGGATCAGAGATTGGAGGAGAGTGAAGAAGGCTGAAATAGTTTTGTGGAAAATGAGACATACTTACTAGAAAAACATACTAAAATTTCTGGACCATGCTGGGGCCTCATAAAGTTGATGATCTTCATAGTTCTGCTTTTTATGCATTTTTCTTCAGCCATGTTTTGCTATATTGCGTATATGAATGTCATGTTTATAAATATATTTTCTAGCCACAGAAATATAAACTATATAAAGAATTGAATAAAGAAAAATTATACATAAAGAACAAAGGTGACAGAAGCTAAGGGTGGATCAGGAGTTTGGACTATAATAACATAGATTAAATAAACTGTAATATTTTTTAAGTGTTTCGAAACCAGGAAAAGCCGAACAATTTTTGCCTTTTTTTTTAAAGCAGAAAGCAAACTATCCAATTTGAGCCACATTTTTCATTAAATCACAAGTAAAATGAATTGACTCTGTAAGATACATATTTTTAAGATGCAGGAGAATTGCAACATTAGGATATAAGAAAGCTGTAACATAAGATTAAGGGCAGAGTTTTTTTTATTCATTGACATAGCTTGAATAGCTAAGGGCACCATTTTTTAGGTAAGGTTAAAAGCCAATGTAGATCTTTAAAACTGATATATAACCCTTTTGCCATGATGTCTTGTTTGTTTCAGAGCTATTTATGAAGAAATTGATGTTCATCACCACAAAGGAGCTCAAAGTCAGAGTGACTGCTGAGGTAAAGACTTCAACTTACACAACTTACATTCTACATTCATGATTTCATTGTAATTATTATCACTTTTTCTAATATTACTTTTTGTAAGGGCCATCTGAGCCTCTGACACTTTGGTGGACAAAATGTAATGCAGGTTTCTCTGAATCACTCAAATTCTAATGAACTATTTGTTCATTAATGAAATCATTCTTTGACCTTGTTAGCTAAAAATAATAAATCTTGGGAATGTAGAATAGAAATATTACTGCTAACAAAAACTTTTTAGCACTGGAATCTTTTATGTACCATTAATATCTGTTAACTGGTACTGGTAGAACTCATTCATTGTTAGCCCAGGTAGGTCTGGATTCACAAAAACTTTTTAGCACTGGAATCTTTTATGTATAGTTAATCTGTTAACTGGGACTGGTAGAACCCACTCATTGTTAGCCCGGGTAGGTCTGGATTCTATTTGCTGTACTGGTTATTCCATTTATTGATTAATGAATGCATGGCCACCAGTAACCTATTAACCTTATTTATTCCCCTAACACTCCCCCTACCCCATGGAAATAGTACATTCCTACCTTTCCTCTACTAGTATGTGGCTCTCTAGTTTCAGGAATGGGGAAAGAGAAGGAAAGGATGGGATGGTTGACTATTTTTTGTTTATTCTAGGTGAAAATGAGTGATCAGCTCATGAGCTGTATAAAGGGTACCAACCCTCTGAAAGGTAGACCCTGTCCAGCTTCAAGGCCTAGAAGATAAGACCTACCACTACGTAAAAACCACAGTGGAACATTTGTCCTCTGCAATAATGAAGTTTAAACAGAAGAGTAACGTTTATGGTTCCTAATAGCAACTCAAGCTTTATCTCGAAAGAACTTGGTTTTAACGTATATTCACTTAAAATTTCAGCAAAAGAAAAATTCATTGTACTGAGGCCAGCCAGGTTAATTGGAAGATCCTACTTCACAGGCTTTCCTACATGTATAAATCATCACACAGCCGTGATAACAGTAGATGAAGATTATTTTATTATAAAATAATTCTGAATAGATGTAAACATGAAATGTGAGAAACTAATTATTCAGGAAGAATACTGAGTGCCTTCATTTAACTAAAATAAAACTTAAAAATCAATTTGCACTTCTTTATAAATAATATTCTTATTTAGAATTATGAACTGTAAAAGCCTTGATGCTACAGTTTATATTTCAGGCACCCTAAAAAGATCACTGGACTCTACATTGAGTTGCCTTTAAATACGATTCTTAATAATACTAAATGTTATCTTTTTCTCTTTTTACTGCAATTTAATATTTCTATTTGGAATAAATACTGGAAAACATTCAGGATAAGCTGTACATTCATTTATGTTGTAAATTACAATGACAAATTACTATTAAAACAATGCAAATAAATTACTATTAAAACAATTTTTTACAGTTTGTTCACTGAAGAAATTCTGATGTCAGTAACTTCACAATCCTACATTTGTTTGAACATTCAGGGACTTGGAACTATCACAAGAAATGCTAGAAATCTAGCAGATACTTATGCATTTTATTTCAATTTCATGATACCAAAATTTCAAAGTCATTATTCAGTACTTTGAATGTAAATTGTGCTAGCTCTTAAAGGAAAAAGAGTCACATTTGGTATCAGAATGTAATCTTTTGGCAAACCATTAGGGCTTAGTGATTCCTCTTTCATTTTGAGCTTTTAAAAGTGAATGTACACAATGAAATAAAGTGGTTACCAACTGTTTTAGAAATAATAAGGGATTCTGACCTAGAACCTAAGATATAAGACACATGGGCATAAAAAAAAAAATCAGTGCTACAAGTACGAAGTGTTAATAATTTCGAAGGGGACCAGTGAATTAAGCTGAACCATTAAGTCCATGCCTACATATATAAGAAACAAAGCAGTTTCTTTTAATACTAAAACTAAGTATGGTTTTGAACCATCATGCATTCTAAGCAGGCATGTGGATTCCTTATAATAAAAAGCTGAACCTGCTCTTTTTTAAGAAGGATAAGTGGTTGGGGGAAAAAATCACTACATAATATTTAAAATAGAAGGCATAAGATAGAATGGATTATATTGTAGAACATTTCTCTTCTGAGAAGACAAGATACATGATTTTTCAAAAATCACAAATGAAGTAGAACTTAGTTGCTGACTTCAATTATAACCCGGAATTGGCAACTTGTGCCCCTCCTTTGCTTCAAAAAAAGTGTAAGAAAGAGTGATGAGATCAACATTCACCATTCTTGGATCTTCAGCAAATTCAGGATCAATGTAGAAAAACACTGGCATATCTACTTCCTCTTGTGGATTAAGCCTTTGTTCTTCAAAACAGAAGCACTAAAAGTTATAGAAAAGTATTCATTTATTAATATTCCTATTATCTATAAAAGAAACTAATGGTTCATTTATTGGCTTTAATAAGCATACCGTTAAATATAATGTAAGTTCTATGATAGGGCAACAGCATCTTTTCATCTCAGATTGAATTTTGCTTTAAGGATTGAGAATCCCTTTAATTTTAAAAGTGGATATCTGTTTGGTTCTAAACTTCTGCACAGCTATTATAAACAATGAAAAGGACAGTTCTGAAGTTTAAAAGAAAGGAATTTTCAGAAATCAGTTCCTAGTAAAACAATGCAGTAAATTTAGTACTTAACAGTTGTATGTACTTTTATCAGTCTATAAAGTTTTCATTTAGTTATACCTGTATTTTATTGAAATACTGTCCAGCTTCGAACGGTACAACATTGTATGTAGAAATTCCGATTACTGGTTTGTCAGTAGGATTCTTAGCTTTGTAAAAGGCCAGTGCAGTTTCTCCTGGCACCACCTATTTTAAAAAATATATACATTATCAATACTTTAAATCAAACAC